TCCGCGGCGGGCTCTGACCGGGCCCCCCGCAACCGGGGAGCGGTCACCGCCGCCGCCCGGTTCTCCACAGCTCCGCCCGGCCTGAGGCCGGGCTGCCGCGGGCCTTGACGCGCTGCCCGGCGGCCCCTCCGCCCCCGCGGCCGCCCTCGGTTTCCCGGGCCGCGGCCGTCGGTTCCCCGGTGTCGGTGCTGGGACCGGGATACCCGTGTGGGCCGCAGCGGTGCCTCGTCCTGCCTCGTCGCACGTGGTCACCCGTGGGGCAGCTGGGCTGCAGCGGGGGCCTCGGCACGCGTGGGTGGCAGCGGGGCCTCGGCCAGCCGTGTCACCCGTGGGCTTCGGCGGCGAAGCCGTGGGCGCGCTTGGTCTGCGCCGTGGTGCCTTGGCGTGCGCGGGTCGCCCCTCTTCTCGCTTCTCTGGTGGCGGGCACGGCCCTCGCCGCGCTGCCAGAACGGCAGGCAGGACGAAGCGAGGCGTAGGTGTTGGTAGCAAGTCTCCAAATTAAAGGTTTCGTAGGAATCCAGGGATAAAACATCACCGCCGCCTCTCACGCACGCCAAGCGGATTTACGGCTGTGGGTTTACACGCGAGCGTCTCTGTGCCTTGCAGCGTGCGAGTGGATGCGCTGAGGCACAGGAGGTATGTTTAGGCTAAACTCTTTGAGGCGAGATCTTTATCTTCTGAATGTTTTGTAAAGAGACTAGCCTATATGAGAGGATAAACAAAAAATAAATATTGTGGTACTGGAGGGGCCGTGCATGTGTTTGATTTATACCTTGCAAATTCAATATAGCATGAATGGACTAGAAGGGGGGAAAGAACCGCCAGGAAATAATACAAAGATCAAGCTAAGCGAGAGTCAGATCTTCAGATTCATCAAATAGTGACTTAAAAAGAAGTGGTGGCCTCCACGGTTTATACTGAGGGAGGCCTGCCTTGCTGTGTCTTAGTCTGCTCGATTTTTCTGGCAGGCGCTGAAGTGTTTTACTCTTATTTGTAGATCTAAGAAAAGGAAATAAACAGGCTCCTCAGGTATGGGTTAAATTAAATACGTCTGATGGTGAGAAGACCGAGTTTGTAGGAAACGTTATGCTTAATATAGTGGTGTTAAAGGCTTTTAAACCACTCTTAATTTAGCATTTGACCCAAGAGACGTTTTCAGGATGGAGGCAGCAGTTCTAATGTATTCATATGGTTTCAGTTTGAGAGGGAGTGAAGAGCTCTGGCTTTTCTCTGGCAGCCTTGTATGTGAAAAGTGTTAGCGATTAACATGAAATGCAGGTGCAGTATTAGGTACACGTGGTTTTGGATACACAGAAATGGAGGCCTACCCAAAAATAGGTCCTGATGAACGCGTCACACACTGAGGATTGCTAACTGTTGAACAGAAAATGAAAAACGGAGAAACATGGAGCAGTAATGGTTTCAGAATGTTTCAAATGCTCCTTACTTGCATGGGTTTTTGTTTATAAAAGCAGTATTTTTTTTCTGTTTTCTTTGCATAAGTTTGTGTAACATTTTCACCTTTTAATTTGATTTGCTTGTGGTTAAAATAGTATTAGATTTTCTTCTTTTTTTGAGGAAAAGTAAGAACAAGGTGTTTGAACACTGCAGTGAAGATCATGAAGAGCCTGAACTGACCAGAGTTTTTGTCAGAATAAGGCAGGGACATGTTCATATATTACTACAGCAGCATGATACCTTTGTAGGCAATATTTCTTGTAACTTGTAATGACTTCTTCAAATATATATTTTCTTTCTCACCTGGAGTCATGATAACTGCAAATGATGTTATGCACTTGTATTAGTATAACTAGTTAAAGGCCTATCTACTCTTTAATCCATTGAGTTTTTATGAAGACTTTCATTTAAAAAGTGGATTTTTATGTTTGTGGACATTGGCACTACCAGCAAATGCAATTGGCTTCTGGTGTTATTTGTCAGCAAAATGTTTCTATTTTAAAGTTGGAATGAATGGATTTTAGTCGGAGACTGAGAACAGTCACACTTTTCGTTGGTAGCTTCATCCAAAAAAAAACCCAAAAATGTTTTGCCCACTTAGGCTGTCTCAACATTTATTTTTCAAAAATATGTACTCATCTGCTAGGATATTACAGTTATCTTTGAGGATGCAGACTCATCTGCATTAGAGAACTCCTAAATCACTGTGTGGTTGTATTTGCTAATTTGGTACAGTCCAGTTAAATTGGTGCAGCTACTTTGTCCCTAAAAAGCCTGTACTAATATACTTAATTTTTATTTCATTTCTCATTTGTTAAATCTTGGCAATGTTATCATTGCAAATGTCATAGCAGAACATAATCCTCCTGAAAACTAGGAGCGGTGCTTGCTTTTGTGTAATTTACGTTTTGAGTTTGATACCTCCTCTCATCTCGGAACAGGCTTTAAGCTTAGAGTCCTCGCTGCTGCATTCCTAATCACACATTTAGTTTTATTACAGTAGTATCCAAAGTGGCCATTATAGTTAATTGTACTTTTTCTGTCTCAAAAAGTGATTGAATCTATCCACCAAAATGCCTGTGGGCTGGAATTACGTGCAGTAGTTTTCTGTGTAGAAGTAAACCCCATGCAAATTCCATATATAACAACCCTTGGTTTATATGCAGAAGCAATCCACTGCTCTAGGTTTGGAACAACTGTTCCAAATCTAGCAATTGTTCCAAATCTAGCAATAATGATTTGCTTCTGGAAATTGTTCTTTAAACACATTTGGTGGGGAGCTGCAGAAACCCTGTCATTATTCAGGAAGCGGCCTATGTGTTAAAATATGTAACTCTTAAGTAGAACGCAGGGAGAGGTTCCTTGTGATGCATCTTTTATCTCCCTGACTGAAACATCATAATGGAAACCAACAACACATGGCATTGCATCTACCTGCTGGAGGGAATACACAAGGTTTATGCAAAGCAAGTATCTTCCTTGTAATGTACTGTGACTGGCGTTTTGGTATTCTGTAGTATTTCTTAAGTGGGAGGTTTGACCAACCTGCTGGATTTCCAGTTTGTCCAATACGTTCGTGTCATTCATTGGAACTTGTTTAGCATAAACAGAAATAGTGTTGGTTAATATGATATCACTCATCTACCCCTTTCATATAGTTTGTGAGTTAGTATATCAAAAATAATAATACTAATTTCAAATTCATCAGCATTTAAAAAGAACAATCCAGGCTACAGTGCCACTGTAAACTTACACAGTCTAGTCTGTGCACTCCGGCAACTTCTGCATCCTTTAAAAAGGAAGACCTCCTTTTTAAGCAGAAGCAAATGCTAAGCAGCGCACATCCCAGCTGGTGCTCTTTAACCCAAGTATTTAGCTAGAGATGGGTTTGCATTGTTGTGAGTAGGCTATTTGCATTGGGTTCATAGTGCTTCTATTCATTGTATGAAGGAGGATCAAAACAGGTGGAAAAAGGAGGAGTGGTGAAAGTTGAATGAGATAGATACCCAGAAGCCAAACTTTTTTTTTTATTGTGCATTTTATTTGATGAAATAGACTGTTGTATCTTTTGTGCTCCTGTGAATACATGCCCATCTGCTCTAGCATGCTTGTAGTTACTCCTGGTGCCCGTTCAGCTGTTGGCATGTTCAGCACAACTGAAATTCTGCATCAGCTGCCCCATCCTCCTCCAAAGACAAATAAAGGTCAAGCTATATTTCAAAAGCAGCTAGGCATGCAACTGTCAATCAGATCTTGAACTTGATGAAGCTTTCATGCTCTTTGCTATAAAAGCAAGTTTAATTTTAGTGCTTTTTAAATTTTATTGATACTTGGGAATTGTGGTGTACCTTCACATTCTGCCCACAGCTGTTTTGATTTAGCTTAGCTTTAAAAAGTAACTGTCTAAGGAGTCTCTTGGAGCAGTTCTTCCTTAAAGTGATTGCTGCAGCAGAGCATGGCTCAAAAATATAAGTTCCTAGCAAAATGAGAAGGAAAAAGCTATAAATGAATTGAAAGCTTTTATTGAAGTTATATAAGCATATTTATAGAAATACTTGACCTCTTGTGGTTATTGCTATGAAACATTTATAAACGAAACTTACAGTAATGTTCAAATTCAACTCTTTAGCACTCTGGTTAAAACTCAGATATTTTTTGAGGTGCATCTAATGTATTCCTGAACGGTACTAAAAGGTAAAGACGGCTCTCAGTAGACAATATGTGAGCCTTGGCTTGTGTGCAATTCTGGAGGCCTCTGAGAAAATTGTAAGTTCGGTAAATAGTGAGTCCTTGTTAAACAACTATAATACAAGATGCATCAAATTTATGGTTTTATAATTGACAGCCATGTGGATGAGTAACTTCTGGATTAATTTTACTCAGTTATATATACTCTGCATGGTTTATTTTATGAGCTTATCTAATGGGGAAAGCTAGGGAATACAATCCAGTATCTTGCAAGTGTTGGGTTGGCTCCTATTTCATCTTTCTGTATTCGATAAAATGGCTTCAGCCCTGGAAGTGCTACATTGTGTGTTGGGATTCTTCTTATTTAAGTGTATTGAAAATACTGATGCAGCTGAGAAACACAGTTATTTTAAAAATCAGTAGATTGTATTACACTTGAGGATAGAAATGAATAGCAAATGAGAATCGACTGAGGGCTTGATTTTTATGCCATTGGAATCTATCGGAGCTCTGTTGTTGATTTCTGTGGGAAGCAGGGTAATCCATCAGCTGAGATCCGTGATCGCTTCTGCTGAAAATTGAAAGATACCTTTGTTTTCAGACTGGGAATCTGCAATTAGAGTTGGTGTGCTGGATTGTGGGGAAGAAGAGAACTATGAGACGTGCAAAGAATATGGTATTCACTATTACCCAACTTTTAGGGTAAGTGGCATAGTATATTGCCTTAGGTAAATGATGCATGCTTTATAGTAACTAAAACCGTAACAAACTTGCTGGCGCAGAGTGTTATGTGTAACTCGTTGTTCTTTAGCTGGACTTTCTCTTTGCTTTTTGTGATAAAGCTGCAGGGTTGATAAAAGATTAATTTGAGTTCTTCTTGCTGAATGCAATAGCTGATGTAGTTATTTATAGTAGTAATTTAGTCCTCAGTTCTGAATCTGAAAAATTCTTATTGAAGATACCATTCTAGAATAAGTACTATATAGTTACATTTATGTAACACCTCATTGTGATATATTTGTTTGATAATAACAATTTGTATAAGTATTTTTCAATTCAAATGTTTGTGATTATTAATAGTGGTTTTAGTTTTGGTATGTGAAAGTACAGGTAATTGCATCATGAAATCAGCTAATTTCATGACCAGGGCTCCAATTAAAAATTCACCCTTGATTGATCCTTTACTATTTTTCTAATTAATTTCATAATTTGCTTAAACTGACTGTTAAAAGGGATCTTGTGTTTGCCAAAATTATCTACCATTGTTCATCTTCAGGTCTAAGTGCAATTTTTAACTTCTCTGTCTTTGCCAATCTGTATAATCACATTATTAACTGTAAGTGTAAGCAGAATGTGATGGATGGAGACTATTGAATAAACTGTGTTTGTTATGACAGGAGAGGGAACAGGAGACATTTCACTGTAGAATTTGTGATGTTCTACCCTGATAGAAAGAACAAATTTTTTTAATTTTTTTTTTTTTTTTTTACTCCTTAAAGTTTTGGGTGTAAATTGGTATGCACTCTTTATTAGACACTAAATCTTTTCTATTTTATTTTTTATAGCAGAAGGCAGTCAAGCTCCATTATATATCCTGTTTAACCACTGGAGGGAGTTGAGAAAATGTGAATAGTGTTCTAAGTATATGTGTAGTTGGTAGTACTGATTTGGTAATGGATCAATATACAGTATTCAATTAAGCATTGTGGTATTTTTCCTCTAAAAGTTGGCTTTATTGTATATCAGAGTTTCGATTGGTAGCTATGAGCTACCCTCGTATAGCTGAGAAGCAGGTCTTTGGAACTCAGGCTAAAAGGGAAAACTGTCTGCTGAACAGATAGATAAAAATGTTTTGTAATTAGAGCTGTAAAAAGTAAAAACTCTTGAAAGCCATTTTTGTTTCTGAACTGAGCTTTGTCTTACACAGTGAGTTATTTTCAAAGCAATAATACTTTTTTTTCTCCCACATAGTACTTCAAAGCATTTACAAAGCAGTTTACTACTGGAGAAAATTACAAAGGTAAGAATATCCTACTGTAAGAAGTCCCCAAAGCAGTTATCCTATCAGCCAGGGATGTGTCACACAATAAGCAAAATCTCTTTGCCTGTCAATTAGTTTAGACAGCTAGAGATGGGATGGACACTAAATAGCTCTTTAAGATATATTACAAGTACTGCATGGAAATGGAATGTCAGGCAGAATTTTAGACAGCAAAACATTTGTTCAAGAACTAAGGACTCACATTCCTCATTTTTTTGAAATGTAGTTTTCACAAATGGCTAGATAATTTTTTAAAATTCCTTTTTTCCACCACATACCTCATCAGCATGAGATCCAATTTGCTCAATCCTGATTCTGGTGCTTTTTGATCTGTCAGCCGCTTTCCAGGCATCCTGAATCTCACTGGGAGAACCCCTATTCAGATGTTGACTAACTGAAAACAGGCTTATCCTGTGTGTCTGAAGGGATCACAGCTTGAGGTGGTTTGTCTGGGAACAAAAGTAATGTTGTCTTTTTCAATGGATTAACATTTAAAAGGCCAGAGGTCAGAAGAGAGACCACCTGCACCATTAACCCTTAATGTAGAAGTAGACCATAGTTGTACCTGTTACTTTTTGGCATTTGTGAGAGCTGCTGCTTTTTAATTTATTTCTTTTAAAGCAAATAAAATATTCTCACACTTCAGTTATTTCCTCATATTGTTACATGGCTTTGTAACCTCACCTGGCCCATTTGGTAAGAATGGTACACCTTTGCAGTTTTTAATGCTTGATGAATATCCTTATTGCAAAAAAGCTACTGAAGTTGCCCACACCAACTATTGTGAAAGTGAGCACAGATTTAAAATGAAGCATTGTTTGAAGAGGAAACCAGCAAGGCAGGCAGATGGTTAGATTTGGAAAAGTCTTCAGGTTTTATTAATTTTGGGGTGGAATGATGATAGCTTTTAAAAATGATCTCATCTCAACATTAAAATGAAATCCTACAACAAATCCTTAGTCCCCATTCTTCAGCCAAATAGTATTCTTGTTTTTAAGTCCAAATTTAAAACAAAAACCTGACACAGAAAAACATGAGAATATATGAAAACCTGCATGTGAATAATTTTTTCCCAGTTTTCTGAAGTGTTGTGGGTTTTTTGTAACCTGTACTCAGCAGGAGCAGATAGAGAGCTGCAAACAGTTCGTCAGATGATGATTGACTTCTTACAGAACCATTCCCAAGAGCTGAGACCACCTGCTTGCCCACCATTGGATCCAGTTTCGTAAGTTCCTTGTTTAAAATACAGCTGGTGTATGCTTACTATGTTAATTAAATAAAATTTAGAAGATCCCATTAAAGATGAAGTAAGCTTTTTTCTTATTATCAGTTCTGCTATGAGACTGTAAAAGGAAATACCATCCATAACAGTGGGTGTATTGTATTCTACCTATGTTAAATAGCTTTTCTTTTCTTAAAAGGTCCAGTGATATTACTTCTCTTTTTGACAAGAACAGCCATCATTATACTGCCATTGTGTTTGAAAGTAATAACTCCTATGTTGGACGAGAGGTAAGGTATGACTTATGAATGATGTAATGAATATGAATGAATGTTATCATAACACAGAAGAATTTTATGTTATTTAGCCAAGCAAGAAAATTTCTGATTATAAGACTGAATTAAAGGGTCATAAAGGGCAGGTCATGCATATTTGAGATTTCACAAAGTCAAAGCATTATAATAGGGCTGTTGTATTTAGTCACACAGAAGAACATACTTACAGATGAATGTGATGTCATGTTAACTTCTTCCATTCACGTTTTAGTGGAAGATTAATTTATCAATTTCATTGCTAGCACAATTCTTTTTTCTTTCAAGATGTGGAAGACCACAACAAAAATATTGTCAGATTATGTTATTGTTTTGTTACAGCTAGAGAACTGTTCATAATATTCATTCTTCTGGGCAGCTTTTGTGATCTCAGCTGTTTATAATAATAGAAATTCTCTGGTTCTCTTTCTTCACATATAGGTTTTAGGAAATTACATTCTAAATTAAGATGATAACATAAAATTATTTTCACAGCTCTGAGGCACTGAGGAAGTAGAAGTCTGTGGTTTTTTGCTTCCCCCACTCCCCAAATAAAATATTTGATTTGGCATCATTTCACCACCTAATGAGCCTGCTGTTAGCTTAGACAACTGTTACTTTTCTCTTCCTGTGAAGATCTAGGATAAGTAAAGAAAATAAATTGCATAATTATCTAGGCATAATCTGTGTAGAAACATCCATTGTCTGTGAAATGTTTCTAATTAGATTTGATGCTGGGATGGCCCAGTTGCATAAGTGGAGGAGAGTGTGCTGCCAAAAGTGAGAATCACTTTGAGAAGCAGGCTGCTTCCAGACATTTGTGTTCTGGAAGCTGCTGTATTGCTACAAGTGGGCATTACTGAAGAGAAGAAATGTGATGATTATAAAGTTCTTCAGCTCTTTATCACACTTGCTTTATTACCTGTTGTTATAGGGAAAGACTGAGTATCATCTGGTTAACAGAAAGTGGAGTCTGCTTTCAGAAGAAAAAATATTTGCTGATGTTATGTAGCATTTTAGCTTTATAGAATAGTTCAGTGAAATAGAAAATAACATTGTTTTCAAGTTTACATTATAAGACAATATGGACAAACCTAATAGAAGTCACAACAGCTCAAGAAAGGGAGGCCATGTGTTTATCACTGATGAAAGGAAGGGTCTCAAATTACAAATTTGAAAGTGAGGGAAAACGTGGCAAAGATAATATTCACGTGAAAGGGAAAAGTATAGTGGAAACTGGGAAACTAACAACAGGAAAAAGATATAGAAGAGGCAGAGAGGAGTAAAAGAATGAGAAGCAGAAATGTAAGAAGAGTCGGACACATGGAAGGTTTTGTAGGGAAGAATGGAATACTTGAAATGGTGGTATAAGAGCATAGACTAATGGAAGGATGTGAGGAGTGTGGCCATTAGAATGGCAAAAGAGGATGCCTTTAGCAGTGGGATCTTGAAGGATTTAGAAAGGGAAGCAAAGTGTATTTAAGCTTTTTTGTTTAAAGGACAAGTTTTCATTACTTAGAACCATATCATATTTATCATCATATTTGTAGGTGCAGCTCTGGCTGTACCTGATAGTTGAGTCCTGGCAAATCTCTGAGGCATCCTGATGTTACCACCCTCTTCTGCTTCCTCTACCCTTTGCTGTAATTTACACTTTGCAAAAAAATTTGTGCCTATTCCCAGCTGCTCTAGTGCAAAACCCCAGCATCAGGTTTAAACAGCCAATGAAGATTGGTTTGAGCTAAGATGCTGGACTGTGAACTGGAACTCTTGAGATATAAGCACCTATCCCTATATGGAGTCTCTGCTGTGGGGCTGGTAAACAAAAAGAGCTGAACAGACAGCTGGGTGCTGTGACACCACAGACTACACAGCTTGATTTGGCAGGGCTTGCCAGGCAAAGCCTTAACTCCTGTGGAGCCCTTAATTGTTTTCGTCTAAGTCATGGACTTTGACATCAGAATGCTGTAAAGTGGTGGGACCAGTGTTTCTTCACTACCTGAAAATTTGCCTTTAGACTCTTACATAAATAACATGAAACATAAACCTGTTGGTGCCTGTGGAATGTCCTCTGGGCTATTTTGAGGTTTATGAGGACATTTTATCATTCATTCTAATGTTTTCTTCAGATGTTAGACTTCAAAGGGAAAAGATCAGGATAGATCAAGAAAAAAAAATGGACAATAGGAGTAATAATTTCCAGAGAAGACTAAATCTTCTTTAACTGAAATTGTTAGTGTCCACAGAATACTCACAGATGTACTTCCTTGGTGAACAGCTTAATGATACCCTTAAAGGATGATGCACTTCACCTATTTATATGTCTTGTCCTACAAGATTGGATATTCCTTGAACAATGTATAATTCATGTCATCTTTTCATTACCCAGGTTATCTTAGACTTGATCCAGTATGAAAATATCATTGTAAAGAGAGCGTTGAATTTTGATAAGCCTTTTCTTGAGAAACTTGGTATTACCTCAGTCCCTTCATGCTATCTGATCCATCCAAATGGGTCCCATGCATTAATTAACATGTAAGTAGTTATCTCTCTGAGGAATATGGGGAGGTTCAGTTAAGCTATAAAAACAATTTCCACAGCTTCCTTTCATACAAAGTAAGTTATTCTATAACCTTTTGCATGTATATAATGACATTGTGTCCTGGCATGTAATCAATACATTGTACTGACTGAAGTTGTGTGTTCCATTTCTTTGTGTTTGAAAATTGCCTGTCTTGAATGCTCTCTAGCAATTATTAACTAATCTGGTGGTCTTGTTATACAGTTTACTCTTTGAATGCTTGTGATACACAGACGTGGGTTATGCCAGTGGAAGTTAGACTTCATCATTTAGTAGGGAAAACTAGCCAAAATGGTGTGGTGGCTAATTATAACCTTTGTGTTGTTTGACGACAATAACAAGTTTATACTGCTGACAAAACTCACTTGTGAAGTAGATGTTTTGAAGTAGTGTTTCTAACTGGAAATAAAAGTTCTAGGCCAATGTTTGTTGTTTGGAATTTGATATGCTGAGAGCAATGAGCTGATTGTTAATGAACCATTTAATATTGTTACCTGTATTTTTAATAAAAGACCTAATATTACTTTTGCATACTACTGTTGCCTATTTATAGCTTTAACCTACTATTGTGATACTTCTGAAAAGAAAAAACTTTGGAATAGAAGTGAAAAAAATTAATGAAGCATCAAAGTTCTTAAACTTGCTTCTGAGTCGAAATACTTGTTCCATGTGAACATTGCCTGTGTAAGGCGAACTGACATTTTGATGAAAATGATGTTTCTAATTTTGGATGGAATGTCAAACCTCTAATCCAAATTATTATTATTACTATTCCTAAACTGAGCATTATTTAGTTTCACTTTGTATCAAAACATAAACATGTTGCACTAGGACTGAAAAACATAAAACAAAGTGAATATTTTAATTTATAAATATACTAATTTGCTTTGGATAGTCACTTAGTCTGAGACTAAAAGTAATCTTTACTTTGTCCATTTATATGCAGTTTGAAGCCTCTACGGTCTTTCTTTTCTTCGTATTTAAAGTCACTGCCAGGTGTAAGAAAAAAACTTCTTTTGCCACTTCAGCTACCTGTTCAAGAAAACAAAGAGGAGAGTACAGAAATCAAGGTGTGGAAAGAGTTCGATAAGTAAGTGATACCCTCGATTTTCAGATCAATGCTTGTTTATTAAAATTTGCTTGCAGTTTTTTCTTGCCATGTGGAAAGCTGTGCTGTAATTTATTATAAAACCCTAGGGCAGTTCAAAATTGTACTTCATTCCATCCCAGGTGATGCACCTTGAATTGAATAGGTTGGTCACTACTGAATGATCTGCATTCTTCTGCTGGGTAAAATTAAAGGCGTTCATGCTTAATACGGGAGAAATTATAGCATCAAAACTGAGAGCAAAGCTTTCAGCTGTTGCTTCAACTTCATCCATTTCCCAGTATATTCAGGTAACACTTGTGAATTAGTTCAATTCTAGCATCAAGGTTACAACTTCTTTATGATTGTGAGCAGTGTTTGAAACAATTCAGAGGTGAAATTGTTGGGGGCTTTCAGTATTTGGTTTTTAGCAGCAAACATCTGCACTGCTAATGTTTTTCTCCAAAAGTATTGTTAAATGCTTAATTGACTTAAAAATACCAAGGACTTATCACCCATTACCTGAAGTATATAGATCACTGATTTGAATTGTTGGAAAACTTCAGCAAGTAATCGGTGTCCCTGAAAAAATAAATAGTAAAATAATAAGCTATAATGTTTCTGTAGAAAACAAGAATTCTGTGTGTCTATAATAGTGAATCAGTGCCCACTAAAAAGTGCTTGTCAAATGCAAGTCTAATAGAAAATACTATAGTCACTGTAAAAGATGTTTATCATACCAAATCCGGTAAGGTTTATCTTCACCCCCTTTCCCTCTTTGTCTGTTTGAGAGAAGGACGCAAAGGCTTTGCAGAGAGATAATCCCTCAGCATCTTTAGATGGAAAAGATGTAGGACTGAGTGCTTTCATTTTGTACTTATTTTCCTTTCATGGACACTATTAGTGTCATCTTCTTTTAATGACTATTATAAAATATTTTATATGAAACATTCTGTTGTCAAAACAACTTAGCTAAATTGAGCTGCTTTCCAGCAAGACAAAATCTTGTTGATGTGAATCTCAAGTCCAAGTATCTTCTAAATAGGATTCTTTGGGGAACCTCATGCATTCACTTGGATGTCTCTTTATCTAAGAAACTTGAAGCAGAATTTTGCAGTTTGTTTAAATATAAGCAGGTACAATATTAACTAAGGAGATAAATTCAGAGTAAGTCTGTAGTTTGAGTTGTTAAGAATATAGATTATTCTGTATTTTAATATGTTATTTCCTGCACGTTATTTAAGAGGTGGGACCAGCCAGTTTCTTGAATGATTGTTCTTTTAATTGTATTTGTTTTTAGAAATAATAATGTTACTGAACTCTTACAAGAAGTGTTTAACTCTCTTAACAATGTGAACTTCTGTTTGTTTGGTTACATTGCTCTGTATCATACTGTCTAGAGCTTGTACTCTGAAAGCATTGAAAGATAGGGTTTTTTACTTGATGTATTTGTACTTTGTAAAGTGTTTTTTGTTGTTAGGAGGATATTTGGTTATGAGAAGGAACTCTTAAACTCTTTGATTTGCTTTACGTGTTCTACTTGTACCTGTCGTAAGGTAGCTAATTCTGTCTTAAGAGCTGGTGTGATTAAAATTGACTGTTAAACTTGTATGCAAACAACCTACAGTAAAACTAGTGCATTTGGGAGAGGATTTCTAGATTCAGTCCCTTCCAACGTTGATCTTTTTCAGTCTTGTTTGCACTCCTGCTCTGTGTATGATCTACTTTTGTTCAACAGAAGTCTCCCTTTTTTCATAGCATGTTATTTTTCTATTTGTGGTCAATCCTGAAGAGAAGCTATAATTTCTTTACCCTAGCTATTTCCTTGCTGGCAATGTCAGGGTTATAATTTCATTACAAGGTAAAGCTGGCGGGGAGGCAAAAGGTTTAGTCAAATATAAAGGAAATTCTTGTATGTGGTTATGCTTCCTTTGTCTAAACTCTGAAGAAAATGACACAAAATTACTCTTTGAAGAGAATACAGTGAAACTCACTGAACTTGACACTCACCGTACCAAGCACCTGAAGTAACTGCTGTGTCTTCCCATAGTGGTGTAGGTTATACTGCAATCACTGTGGAGTGGCAGATGTTGAGGTTTTAATGACACCTACTATATATCAATTTTACCTTCATGACTGGTGAGAAAATGAGCGAAAGAAACCTGCCGCTTTATAACATTATATATGTGTGTTTCAGATCTAAGCTGTACATGGCTGACCTTGAATCGGGATTGCATTACCTGCTTAGGGTAGAGCTTGCTACGCACAAGACACTTGAGGGAGCTGAGCTGAAGACCTTCAAGGATTTTGTTACCGTTTCTGCCAAGGTATACACTTCTAGTCTTTGATTATTTGTAAGAATAAAGTGACTCTAACATAAAATTTATTATGTGACATAAGTCTCTCAAAATGTCTTTCAGAATGTTTAAGTATATGCTTCCTCAGTAGCTTAAAAAATAGTTTTGTGGGTTTCTTTATATGTTATTTTTGAGTTACTGTATGCCATTCTGACATACTTAGAGGGTTGAAATGCATTTAATTTAATCTCAGAGGGCTAGAAATTAAATAAAGCTTAAGTAGTCTGCAACATATTGAACAAACACTGTGAATATAGTCCATTTATCAGATTTTCAGGATAAGTAGCTATTGTAACTGAGTGGGATTAAAAAAACCCTTTGTTTTGCCTTCTTGACTTTTGGATTTCTTTAGTGCATGCTTGACAAATGGTGTTCTGTTTAGAGATATTGGTAACTTCTGTCTAAATTTTGAATATAATTGAAGTATTGAATTTAACTGAGTATTTCAAAATAATGGTAGTATTGAATATAATTGAGTATTTAAAAAATAAAGATGCTTACATGCTACAATTGAGTGAAGGGACTATATATGTAATACAATGTGATATGACTTGAAAAAAATTGAAATAATTTAACTTCATAATGTCAGCCTACTGAAATGACCAATATCTCTTTATATTTACTTATTGAGCAGCTAACACTTTGTTTTATTTTGAAGAAAGTGAATCAATATCTGTTTAAGGGAATAATAAGGCCTATATGAACTATTTCCAAATATCTGGATTTATCTGAAAATCAGACAGACAGTTTCTTACCCCCCCGCGGCCATCAGAGGTCAGAAATCTCTAGCTGGCCTCATTTCTTTAAGAAAGTGTGGTGGTAATCTTGCCATCATATTATCCCTAAAACATCCTCTGTTCTTCCTGATGGCTCCTGGCCAGCTGATGTCATTTGCTTCCCTGGCTATTAGCGCATAAATGGGGAATGCTCTCTTTTAGTTGCATGCTCATCTCCAGACTGCCATTGTACAAGTGGGGACTGCTGTCCTTTATTCGCTTTCTCTTGTTGTGTAACACTTTCCTCGTAGTTCTCATTCATGATTCTCGGGTGTTTCCATTAGGAAATTTTTTTATAATATCCTCCTGTGTAACAGCATTTATGGTGATAAATCTTAAGTCACAGAGGTCTCTGGTTCCCTACCTGGGGGATTTTCATTGTTGCAGAAATAGTTTTTTTGGCTATCAGTGCAGAAGTCCATTGTTTTTTGAATCCTCGATGAGACTGGTACCTACCTGAGATACTATTGTCATTTAGAAAGTAATGGGTGATATTCTGGGGCTCCTACAGGAATAAATGTAATTATAGTATGCAGTCAGTAGTTCAGAGGTGTGCTGGTTTTTTAGACTGTTTAAGAGTTGTCTTTGAACCCAAACAATGCACATGGCCCCCTGTTAGACACAATACAGACAATTAGCAAAAGGGAGTTCCTGCCCATTAGATTTGCATGGTATCAAGTGAGTGGTCTACGAATTAGAGATATTATCGATAGTTGGACAATGGCTGCAGAATGACTGGCATATGTATAGCATGTTCTGTCATAAATTGCTTTCTGTATTTAATGTAGCAGATACAGGGACTTTATTTCCCCATCTGTTGAAATACTGCTCCTTCTGGAAGGGTACTTAGAGGATGGTATGCATACTCTACTTAATTCTATAGTAATTACAACCATCACTAAAGTAAGATTCCATTTCTAGTGTAAAATAATGGCATTACCTCTGATTTACGGTTCCTCGCACTAATCTGACAGACTGACTTCTTTAAGTTGCAAGTTAAGGAAGTCACTATTTCCAAATCACTTTGGCAATCACTGTTACACATATGAAAAGGAAAATGCTCTTCTAGATAACCAATATCATCTACATTTACAGAAATCTGAACAAATATTTTATAAGAACTCATTTTTGTGATTATCTTCTAAGAGTGAGAAGGATTTCAGCCTCTCTGATTCACTTAGGTCTTATGCTCCGTTCTGAGCTATACACTGAGCTGAATTACCTTAATGCAAAGTTCTACATAATCTGTCAAAAGTTGTTCTGTAGCGTTTCTGCCTACTCTTGGGTAGCTTCATTCTACTGGTTAATATTTTGTGCATGCAACTTGTTAAATTTTGTAAGCAAAAATTAGTGTGAGATGTTCTGCTTTCAATAAAAAGCCAAGTAATTAATTTGCTCATAACAAAAGAAAATCTGAAGCATTTTAAAGACAGGTAAAGCACATTTAGGTAAAGATAAAAGTGTCTTGCTGCTAATGAGATTTGTGCTTTAAAATGTGGTAAAATATGGGTATTTTCTTTCTTGTTTTTTTCCCACAGCTTTTTCCTGGCCGACAGCCTGTGGTAAAGTTGTTAGAGACCTTGCAAGAGTGGCTGGTGAGCCTTCCATTAGACAAAATCCCTTATGATGCTATCCTAGATCTGGTCAACAACAAAATGCGGGTAAGCTGTTGCTAGTTTCCAGCATAAAATACAGCATTAGTAAAGGATAAGATTCTATATAAATCTAAGACATCACTTACTGATGGTCCCTCAGTCATAATGGAGTTATAAGAAGGTTAAAATGAAAATAAAGTGAAATCATTACCAGAAAAAAAATCCACATGAAGGAATTGAAATGAGAGAATTGAAATACACAATCCTGTCTCAGTTTTATAATGAGCAAGCGATCGCTAACATATACATGTTCCCTAACGTCAGCTTCAAATGATGCAAGGTTCCCAGCGGATATTTTTGAGTTGCCTTTGCTTGCTGTGCCGTGCCTGCTGTCAGCAGGATTCTCTTAAAGGTCAGAGTTTAAGTGATGGGAAATTTACCCACTGAATTGCATATTATTCCTGAAGAGTTTCCCCAAACACTCTTTAATTTCCCGGCACAGTAAAGGCCTTGCTAGGAATCCCATCTCACCTTGGTAATGCAAAGCCCTATCACAGGGCTATCTTTGTACAGAAGTTAATATGAGTCTTTCTTCCTGTGAAATGGGATTGCTATGTGAAATTTGGAAACCTCCTGTGTGTTTTAGGAAGCAGAGAGAGAAGTCTGAGAAACTAAAATTTTGCACTGGATTGTAGGCATAATGAATAAGTAGTGGTTTTGTTTTAAGGAATAATGATGAATTCTACATCTTAGCCTGGTAAGACTTTACCACTGTAAGTTATGTAAACCTTGCTGAGTAATATGGAATTTTTAATGTGCCCAGGGAAACTGTAGCTCGGTCAGAGTTTACAGTAATATTTGTGTGTGCGTGTTGTGTTCACACTGTGCTTAAAAAAAACTTCACAAGTTAAGCTACTTAATGTATTCTGTCAGACTAATTAGACATTTGTGATGTGCATTTTAGTAGGTTTGACACCAGTGACTGTACATTGTGTATCATGTAATGTGTTTGCCAGAGGGATGAGTTTTACAATGGTGCATCAGAGTATCTCAGTTTAAAATTTGTTTGCCTTAAGCATGAACTCATTAGCAGAAGTGCAGAGAGAGTCATTTACTATTCTTTCCTTGGATCACCTCAATTTCAAGGTAGAATCAACTGTGACTGCTGTTATGTTCAGTAGTGAATTTAAGTCCCGGAGATGTGTATATCTTAAATACTATTTTTTTTTCCCCTCCTCCCCCCCCCCAGATTTCTGGGATATTTCTCACTAAGAAAGTTCAGTGGGTCGGATGTCAGGGCAGCAGACCAGAGCTGAGAGGTTATACCTGTTCCCTTTGGAAGCTGTTTCATACCCTAACTGTTCAAGCTGCACTGCGACCAAAAGCTTTGATAAATACAGGTAAGCAGCAGTTATGCGAGACACTTGAAGGATGAGACAAATATGTACAGCAGTTCTGCTACACAGTAGAATAAGTAATGGATTAGAGCAAATTTTTTTTTTTGCGTGTAAATACTCAACTAACAACACATTGGTGGAGGACATTGGCTTTCAAGGCTTAGCTTTCAGGTTTGCACCAGCAGAGGTCAGAGCATAGCTTTACTGCAGCGGGGAGGCTTTGAAAGAAAGCGTGTCAGTTTGTCCTTGCTTAGAAATGTGGTAAATAAAGTATGTGGCCCTAAAGATGTGAGCAATAAAGCAGAAAAAGGAGAGAATTTCAAACAAAGACATTTTGAACTACCTGAAAAGGGATGAACATTGTTCAGGTTACCTAAGGTTACACTACTAATTTAATTTGAGAAGAATGAGATTTAACCGTGCAGTTTAGTAGCTATAAAAGATGTACAACCATTAGCCAATCCTTCTGTAATATTATTTCTTAAATACTGAATGCTGTGACTGTTTGGGTTTTTTTTTTCAGCTGAATGTACCTAGCGTCCGTTAGTCTGTGCAGTGATATACTACTTTGCAAGCACTCTGTAAAATTGCTGATTTTTAGACTTGCAGCATCTTGTGAAGCAGAGTGTTAATATTCTGGTGATGATTCCCATTTAAGAAACATGCTGGATATATAATCTATTTTCCTCGCACAATGGAAATAGAATTACTAATGGTAAAATATTGGCCTTCATACGTTTTTATTCTTGCCAGGACAGTGCTTTGTTTGGTTATAGTTCTATTTAGTTTTCATTTAAAGCCTTGTTAATGTCTCTTTGAAGGAATATAAGAATGCTAGATGGACTGTTACTAGATCATAAAACTCAGAAATTTGCAATTTGTCAGTTGCTGATTGTATGTTTAAAAAAAAAATTATTATTTCAAATTATGGATACATGCATTTGTCCAGCATTACTTGCAATCACAGTGAAAACCTCTCAATTCTAAACACAGAATCTCCTGCAGAATAGGGATTTTTTTTTTTTAATAGCTAATCATCCTGTTGTTGATTTTTTGTTTCTCTCTTCATTTTGTCTTGTTTTGTTTGTTATTCATGGGACAGTAGGTTGAATCCCTTTAATTTAGTACTGTGCTCTGCCTGGTGAGTTTGGGGTTTTTTGTACTGGATGATAAATTAGCTGTTCAACAGGATCATGGATAAGTTAGATTTCCCCTTTTGTCCCAATTGCCAAAAGGTGTTCTAATTAAATGTAAAAATGTTCTTAATATTTAACTATACAAAATTGCATCTTAAATTGCTCCCATGTTTCAAGCATGAGCTTCAGTTAGTCTGAAGTTAAAAATACATTGTAGAACCTGAAAACTCTTTGGCACACTTAACCATCGATTTAAATCGGGACAGATATGTGATGATCACTTCTTATGGCGAAAGAATTGGGTCAGTCTGAGACTGTCGGATTATGTCTTGGGAGGTTTTCCTCTCCTTATTGCTTGTTTAAATCCCATCTACTAAAAAGCATGATGTACTCCCTAATCCTTCCCACCACAGGTAGGGTTTTATGGTTCTTGTCCATTTTAAAGATTAGGGTTACCCTGAATTGCAGTAGTTTGGGAGGAAAGAGAAAAGGAGGATTACACGATGATACATGGCAGATGTTAATAGAAGATTCATCTCTGGGCTGATAAAAGAAAAACAAACAAAATGAGCCATTTTGCAATTGTTTGTTTTCTTTTTAAAGCAGCTGTATTTTTCTTGATAGTTTCCTCTGCTTGCAGAGTCTGGCAGTCAGTGTGAACTTGCTATGGCTTTCTTGATATAATGTTTTTATTGGTTTATATTTGACACATTTTATTGTTGAACGGTGTAATTTGAACCTGCGGTGGGATCAGCATAAGGGAATCCAAAGGAACTCTGAACAGAACTGCTCACATCCAAGGATGTATAAAATCATTATAGAAATCTAGTCCTGAGCACACTTAATTATATGAAATGTGTCTTTAGGTAATAGGATCTATTGGCATGAATAAGACAGGCTTGTGGATTTTATAAAAAAAAAAATCTGGATTCTTTTTAATCTGTTACTGAATTTGAAAGACCTCACCACAAAATGAATTTTCAAGAGCGTAACATTACACAGGAGAGCAGATATAATTAAATTTGTGTATGAATCTCTGTTCCTCCATAAAGAGATTATTTGCTAGTAGTTACTTTTGTTGTGTTTGCTGTTGTTTTTTTCTAAATATATATTTTAGTATACAGGGTAAAACTGTTTTGCCTGAAATTCATTTCAACTTTCCAAAATTTCTTTTAATACGGTAATTTAATCTGCTTTAATCTCATAGCTTTTATTTATACATGCCTATTCAATCACAGATATTGAATGTCTGAGTAGAGATTGTTTGCTTTTTATGATTTCTTTTTGGCTTTAAAGACTTTTTTGTTGCCATGTTTAAGAATGTAGCGTTGTTGTTCTAAATAAAGGTGTTTGTGACAGTCTAAATGCATTTCTTATACATAACAGATAAGTACTCTGATAGTTTTGAATAGGTTTTGTTGAGGATTTTTTTTTTCCAAAAAACAACACATGTACAGAGGGCATATGTGCTACCAAACTGTTTGTTACTCACTACGGAATAGGACCGTGAACAAAGCACCGTAACCCTTTACTACAGAACCTACAAAACCTGCATTGTAAATTACTCTTGATAGAGGTGTTCAACTGCAGGCATTGGTAATTTGATCAACCTGCATCATAAAATGTGTTTCATTTGACAAGTGTGTGTTCGTGATAATGTATAGTACATTTGTAAATACATTTGGGCATAATTTACTAGGTCAATTAAGCATGAATCAGAAAATCTGTGAGACTGAAATGAAACCATTAGGATTTCAACAAATTATATCAGGTTTTCAAGCCACTTATAGATGTAGGGACTACCTGCTGTCTCAATAAAGGCCCAGGACAAAGTTCTCAATCTGTAAAGACCTTAGCTTCCTTCTCAATAAAATAATAATTCTTTCACATTATCTTTAGTGTACAAGTGTGAATGTTATAGAAAGAATAATGTGTTTTGTATTTATTTTAGGAGGAATTCCTGAGTTACTCTTGAAAGTTCAAAAGTCGCTAAGTAGCTGTTATGTGTGTGCATTCAGTGCCTGCCAAAAAAGCTGTGGAATTAATAACTGTAATGAGATTCTGGTATTCTGTAATACCTCAGAGTTACGGAGTAACAAACAGATATCACAGGCACCTTGTGAAATACTTACCAGAGGGGTTTTGACCCTTGGTTTTTCAGTAGCAAGGTCACCATAACTTTAGTGCCTGAGCATAAATGTAATGGTGAATACTTAACATAAATATTCATTTAGTTATTGGGCAAGATATTGGAGAAAGGCTCTAATTCCAGAAGAATTGTGGGAAGTATAGACAGCGTGGACTTCGCATGTTTTAACAATTTCAAGATGTACTCTGATAATGGGCTTCTGGAAAAATTTTTAATGTCTGATTTTCATTTAGCTAAGTTTGTTCCACCTCTCAACTTGTAAGATACTCTTTGAAAGGAGAAATTTCACTGTAAAGAACACTTGACCTTTAACTCTTATTTTAATGTGTTGTCCAGAGTAACTTTGAACGCAATTGTGTAGACTAAATGTGTTAGTATGTATTGGTATAAATAGCTACTTTGCATTTTTAATAACACTAGGGCTCACCTAGCATTTTTTGAACCTTAGTGTGTTTGAAAGAATTCCCTTGTAGTTGTGTCTGATATCCCAGATAACCTTTCAAAACAGTATGTTTTGAAACATGCTGTTTGAGATCAGTTTAAACTCTACATTATTTATTGCCAAATAATTTGGTTTCTAAATGTCTCACCTCAACCACTTAGTGACAATATCTTATGTGTATTTTGTGGGGGAGGGGTATTTCTTCTAAGAACTGTGTGAAGCTTTTAATCCCTCTAATATCTTTGTGACTTACTGAGGTATAGGTTCTGTATGATGGCACATGTGTTATGGATATCTTTAAATTACAAAAGTGGCTAGTTTCTTATCTTTAAAGTGGAGGGATAAATTTACATGGAACAAGAAGGTAGCAACATTTCCTTTCCTTTTCCCATAGTTCACTTTTATGTACATTAAAGTGCTGATGTTCAAGCTGTGTTTGTCCAGATGATGCTGAATGCATCTATCGTCTGTCTTCCTAGGTCTTGAAGACAATCCCCAAATAGTACTTCAGATCATGCGGAGATACATTCACCACTTTTTTGGATGCAAGGCTTGTGCTCAGCATTTTGAAGAAATGGCTAAAGAGTCCATGGATTCCGTTAAAACGTTAGACAAGGCTGTTCTCTGGCTCTGGGAGAAGCACAACGTAGTGAATAACAGGCTCGCAGGTATGGAAGACCTTGCTTAGGAAAACCCACCAGAGGTAGCTGTGTCTGAAAGCCAAGGCTGTGGCATTTTATACAATGTGGTTTGTATTTGAACAAAGGGATGGGCAAATGAGGCTCTGTAACAAGAATTTAGAAGCAACAGTAACAGTTGTTCCAGTTTGACTTTCCTTTATTAAATGCTGACTTCAAAAGACTAACTCCACATTTACATTGGTGTACAAGAAAGGGTACTTGTGTATAGAGCAAAACCTAGAGCATCCCAATCAACTATAACTCTTAAGACCAACATGCTAAACTTTGCATGAGTGAGAAATATATACTTGAGATATGCTATCCTCCAGTAACATAGTTATCTCTTATCATATATAATGAAAAAACATCATTCTCAAAGATACTGTTTCTTGTGAGATTTTACCTGTTGCTTGATGAGAGGATATTTCTGGAGTACAAATCAAGCCTTTTCAAAAAGGAGCATACAGTTCAGCTACTTATCAGTGGATAAAAAATGATTAAATTTCTTTCTGTAACAGTTTAAATAGATGTTAAAACCTGTCTTCGTTTTGTTCTGGAGAGATGCTGTATAGAAAATGATGATAATTGAACAGGAGACTTTCTCAGGATAAAAGAGCCTAAACTATTAGCAGATCAGCAACTGAATAAAATAAAATTACTGTGTGAAGAAAATCTGTCCCCCTGCTAGATTGCCATGTTTTCAGTTAGACTAAAAGTACCGTTAAAATACTGGTTGTATTTAATCCGTTCTGTTATGGGAATATCAAGTAACTAAAGCACTAAAGAAAATTGGTTTCTCTTTACACTTAATCCCTGTCTGCTGTTATGGATCTGTGTAATGTAGCATTAGTTACAATTTAAATATGGTATATTGTGTTTATATTATGGTTATGCTGAATTCCCAAGATTTATGAAGTATTAAATACTCTTGTGAGCATAAACAGTTTGTCTCCTTTCTCCAAGGAGAAAAGTAAATGATGAGGTATTAAATAAAAACATCCCCTAATGTTTGTTACTATTGCCAGGTTGAATACAGAAAAAAAGTCATCATGGTAACTTGAAGTTGCTAAGTAGTGGAGCAATACACTTATTTAGAACATTAAGTTATTGGAAAACTAGCATGGATATTGATTTAGATGATGCAACAGCCGGCTAAAATACCCTTTTAGTAAGAAGTATAAACGTACTGGAATAACTAATAATATTAAATTATGCTTTTTAAGTTTACTAAAATTTCTCTTTGGGACAGTGACTTATTTTAATTCCTAAAAGCTGCATCTGTATTTCTGGAAATATATATAGCTTTCAATGAGAAATGATGTTTGACTGGTCAATGAAAACACCTTGGCACAGCCTTCAAGTGCAGGTCATGAGATTGTTGTATATGGCTCTGCCCTATTTAATTCTTTCCTGTTGCTTTAGAATGTACAGAATTTATAGCGTTCTTCTTTTTGGCAGGAAAACATGAAGTACAGCAAGTGTTCTGTTTGTAATCTTACCATAAGACATTTTGTTTCTACTTTCTCTACTGAAACAATTTGATTACTGAGTAATACTTATTTAAAGATATCTGAAATGCAAACTTGCTCTCATACTTGCAGGCATCAAGGAGACAAATATTTTAAGCTTTCTCTGAATCCCTAAACAATATTTTGCTCAAAATCATGGGGAAGTTTCCTGCCTTTAAAAATTATAAAAATAACAATAAAAAAGAATCTATATTTATTTCTGAAATAATTTAAGTGTTAGTGTACTAATAACAATCAGATAAATAAATTAGCTTTTTTACCAGGTACAGGTTTTTGTTCTAAAAATTATCTCCATCCACATTTTAAAAATATTTTTTTTTAGAACAAAGTGCAACACTAGCTACAGTGTTCAGCTCTGCCATCAAGACAGAAAAGTGGCCAGAGCTATGAGCAACTAAAATGTTAAAATTGGATCTAGTTCAAGACAGCATTATATGTTTAAATGCTAAAAAGCAAGCTGAAAAATACATCTTAAATATGATAATAGTTTTTAAAGTACTGAAAATAGTTTGCTATAGTAACAATGCAAGCTATGAAAAAGCAAGCTTAGGATAGAATGGTTCACAATATAGAAACATGAAAATATCCGCAAGTCTTTGGCCTTGAAACTGCTTGCTGCAAACCAAGCTTCAGGATTAAAGAGTATTGAGTGCAAAAGAGCAGTTTGTTTTGAACCATAATTCAAGTTAACCCCTGAAAGGCCCAGATGGTGGTGTTTTCATGCCTTCTAAAAGCATAGCAATTGTAGTATCTTGTATTAGAATTTGAATGCTACAGCTTTTACTGAGAGAAAAGGAAAATAATTATTATTTAGTGTTTGTGTTTTGAAAGAGGAAGCAACACTTTGGAACATAATTGATGCATCCATAAGGAAACCTATGAATTTCCAAATTTGTTCATGATTGTTTTCAGTTTAATACAAACGTTATTGGGCTATGCTTTTTTTGCCAACCTCACTATTTATGAGTGGAAAATATTCTCTGTGGTTTCCAGTGAAACGTCTGATGGTTCAGCTTCCCTAGTTCATTCAATTCTGATAGTTTTACGTTTTTTCTCCTCCCAATTAGGTGATTTGACTGAAGATCCAAAATTTCCCAAAGTTCAGTGGCCAACTCCAGACATTTGTCCTGCATGTCATGAAGAAATTAAAGGATTACACAGCTGGAATGAAGCCCAAGTTCTACAATTCATGAAGTGTCACTATAACACTGAAAATATTCTATATAAATACACTGAAAGCCAGACTGACTCCAGCGAAACTGAACAGGGAGATACAAGGGAGTTGAAAGACAAAAGCCTACTGAAGAAACCAAGTGGAAACAAAGAAAATAAAATCCAGGATAAAGAAAACATACTCGATTCAGAATCTAAGGTGTTAGATAAGCTAATAGCAAACCATGGACCTGTCAAAGATAGTGGTAAAAGTGCAGTTGGATCAGCTAACCTTAAAGAGACGAAGCAGGCCGTGTCTTTCTTAGGGATTGGATTTTCAAACATAGACATGAGTCTGTGTGTCATACTGTATGTAGCATCATCCTTATTTTTAATGATAATGTACTTTTTTTTCCGAATGAGATCTAAACGGTGGAAAGTGAAGTATTATCGTTCATCTGTATAGAAGTTTAAATCGGAAACAAAGTTTTCATTGTACATGGCTGTTCAGTACCAGATACAGCTTTAATATTTATGATCAGGGATTTTATATACAGTATTCCATGTTTCAAAACCCTTTCTCCCCAAGTCATTTCACAAGTGTTCTAGCTTAATATATGGAGCTCGCTGTAAGAACCCTAATCTTTAACTGAGGCACACAGTGCTATCATAAAATGTCCACTGAAGGAAGCATTGCATTTTTCAGTTAAGATTTTTCCATGACTTACCACCTACATCCTTTACTCATTTTCAGAGTAAACATTGCATTATGCAATCAACTGTGCCTGGTTTTAGAAGGAAATTGGATATTGTTTTGTGTACTTCGTCAGGTGGGTTTTTTAATGTATCCAGAGCTGATTTTGCCTACCAGAGTACTGAACAGTTATGCTGTTACCTTGGCTGCTTCATTTGGAGAAGCAAGAATTCTGATTTTTTTTTCAGGAAACAAGAGTTCTATTCTGATTAAATCCATTCTAAACCTATGTGACTTCCCGAAATATTATTTACACTGCATATTTAAAGTAGAAAGCATTACACGTTCAAATAAGTCTTCCATTCTCGTGTGCATTCCAGCCAAGGATGTGTGTGTTTCTGCTAGGGTGAGAGTTTTGTGGCAGTTTGTATCTCAGTAAGCAGCCTGATTCCACTTGCTAATTCTGTCATCCATTTTAATTGAGTTTAGATGTAAGCAGGGACAGCCTTGGACCCAGTGCATTACTTGCTCCTCTATTGGATGTGTTAATGGAGCATTAGATAACTCACCTCACTCATTTATGAACCAGAAAAGTAGCTGAGTAATTATTGTGTTATCCAGATGGAAGCCAATTCTGATGAACTCTAATAAAGGGGAACAGTGTTTTCAATGAAGGACAGTGAGATTTGCATCAGCATGCCAGAACAAATTTACAGATCTGGAAATACTAAGTTTCTTATGATGTTGAATAACTCCATTACAATTTAGTAATTTTCTCCTTGTAAGGTGGGGTAAACACTTCACCTGGTATTTCCAGTTCTGAGTTCACAGAGAGTATCACCTGCTAGCTGTAAAGTTGTCTGTACAGTACTTAGAAGAACAGCCCATTTCTCTTGCCCTTCTGCTGGAGGAGTACTCTGTTTGGGTCAAGAAGCGTTTAACTAATGGTTAAGTCTGAGAGCTGCTCCATTCTGGGATGTGGCAGTGATTGGGAATATGGCAGTTGCCTTTACAGGTCTGTCTGGTTGCCTGGGGTCCTGGCTGGCAGCAATTAGAAGAAACCATGAAAACAGTTATAAAATTACCATGTGGAATAGGAGTTTCTTTCTGATCCTAGCTGTGGGGGATAATTCACGTCCTGGATAGTGAAGTTTATAATCCTATCCAATGTAATTGAGCATGTTCTAGTTATCCATTACCTAATCTTTAGTTAATCCTAATAGGTTTTGGCCTCAATGTTTTCTTGTGGCAGTGAGTTCTACAGATTAATTATGTTATATAAAAAGGCTTTTCCTTTCAATTCTACATTTGCAACTTTTAATTTAATTGAACGTTTGCTAGCTCTTCTGCTACACGTGAAGGAAAAAATAGTCCCTGGCCAATTCATTGTATTTACACTGTTAGTGTGTCGTCCTCCTATTTCCATCATAAGCTCTAGGATAAAAAGTTTTAAAGCCTAGCAACAAGAATGGTCTAAAAGCACGAAAACTCAACAGGGATATTTTTTTGTAATCAAATCTTGTTTGTTCACAAAACTGAACATTTCTGACACGAGTTTCTACAGCTTCCAATTAGAATAGCAAAATTGGGCTTCAAAGATTTATTGTCCCTTGTTCCTTAAGTTTATCAGAATAACATACACAAAGTAATAACCTTCTGTGGTTATTGTAAATGTGTCAGAGGAAAAAAAAAATCTCCATTCACATGACACTGTTGGTGTGACATACAGAAAGAGGTGCATTTTCAGGCTTTCTTAAACCATCTTCACTGTTTATTGTATGCACCCGATGGCTCTTGCTCCAACGTGAGAAACTTGACTCCACGCTCTCTCGGCGAAGCTGGGTGCCAGCTCCTGCCTTCTGCCATATGCTGCCTCCGAGGAGCTGAGAGCTGCTGGGAGCACCTGTGGGCAGCTGCTTCTGCCTATGGTCTGACCTGAAAACTTTTCTCTAATTTTGACATTAAGTCTGTGACGTTAAGTCAGTCTGTGCTTTTTAAGGACCCTCACTGTTCAGGAGTTCTGGCTCAAGGAGCCATCGTGTGTCTCCCTCTTCTTCAGGAATTTATAAGAGTCCTATAATTACCTTTGTAGCACCTGGGCTTGAATATTAAAACAACTCGTGAGTAACTAGAAAGATAGTGAACCAGTGGTGGAAGGTTGTCCAGGCTGGCTCATTGTGCCACTTGCTTTGTGCTGGAATCCAGTGAGAGGTCCCAGGAAGAAAAATTGGACATTTAAGTGACCTAATCTGGGGAGATGTTGATATCAGCTGAGAAGCAAGGACATTTAGCTTCTCAAAAAACCCCACCCAAACACCAAAAAAACCCAAAACTGCAGCATAGCAAGTATTGGATCTGAAAAGTTTGGCCAGTTTCTGTGGGACTATTGAATTTCCTGCTGTCAGTATTGTTGCACATTTTGAAGTTGAAAATCGGTCATTACTGCTGTTGTTTAGAACTCTACCAAATACATAGATCTGAGTTTGTTAGCGTTGACTCATTCTACTTATTTTCATCTGCATATGGAAACGAAAGGCTTTGAAGGTTTGTAGGGATGATTTTGCCATTAAAACAGCAGCAAATGTGGTTTTGGAATAAGGGCGTTTTTTGCTACACACCATTAACTTTCATGTTGCTGTGACCCTGCTGGAAACATGACAAAACCAAATGATACTCAAACCTCCTGTGTTCTTTTTTTTTTCTTAAGAGTGTAAAAGCATGAAATTAGGATGTTGATTACCCATGTTGGTGCTCTAACTCTGTTACCAGTTAACTGGCCAAGGCTTTCACTTTAACTGCTAGTAGTGACCTCACCTGGAAAAGTTTTCTTGACTTTGAATTCAGTTGTGTAAATCTTGGTTTACTTGTTCTTATCTTCTATCTTTATAATTACAAATTACATCCTTTTATGTACTCTGACTGTAAAGTTGTATTATGTCTGCTGGTGAATGTGTGATGCTGCTTTGCCATGGTGCATTATCAGTGGGTGAGTTACAAGAAAGTGTTTCCTTTTCAAAACTGCCTCAAACCACTATCTCCTCAGTCCTGGAGGTTTTATTTGTGTAATGTGTTGTACCACAGAAGTTTCTTCAATGCCACTTTCATATGTGGACTAGTGGCAGTCATTTCCGAGAAGGATTTCTTGGCCCTTTGTAATTCATGGAGGCTTCTTTGCTCTTTGGATGTTTTTAAAGAGGAAATATTAAATCTGCATAGAAAATAAGAGTACTGTGGAATGTGCCAGAAGAGAAAGGAAGCTGCAAGTGCTAAAGAAAGCTAATGAAGTTATTCCTGAAAACTCTTAATTTTTAATTTCCAGCAGTGTATCCATCCTGCTGTTCCTGCTCAGAACTAGATGGGAACTACCATCTTAGCAAGAGGTCCAAGGTGTATTGTCTAGGTCTGTGCATTGCATATGAGGTGTTAAAAATAGTGAATGTACCATTTCAGTAATTTAAATGTTTTATTTATTTTAATTCAATAACTTGACATTTCAAGTCTATTATGTTTTGGTTGGTTTGGTTTTTTTACTCAGTCTCATACCTCTCTAGGAAGGAAAAGTGACTGTTTTGTACTAAATTGTAAACTAATGTGCTTGTTTAAAATAAATTGCAAACATTTGGGCAAACCGGTGCATTTTGGCTTTTTACCTGTATTTTCAAGTTCTTTTTAGCTAAACTGTATTGCAAGGATATCTTGCATACATGTCCATTTCAAACCACATTGGTCACTTTATGTAGGTACTTAATTTTGAAAAGTACCAGGAACAGGTAAACTTTTACTCCATTTCTTTCACTGTTATCCCCTAACTTTATAAAACGTGAGTGAGCGTTTGCAGGAGTGATGGAAGAATTGTCAGTTTCCGACCAATTATTTGCACATTATCTCTCTATATACACACATACACAAATCTTCCTTTCTCTTAAACCTGACCATCTCTTCTTTGGCCAGGATGGTGCTAACATCCACTGGGGGCTTCTGAATCTTTCTGCAGCTTCTGCTGGCAACCGCAGTGCCACTGAGGTGGGACGGTTGACTTGTTAAAAATATTGATTATCTATCTACAGAAGTACTACAAGATATTTTTAGAAATCAATAAGATTTCTAAACCTGTAAAATAAGGTTCTTTGAAATTTAGCACTGCAACTCACTTCTCCAGACAAACGTGTATTACCTTGCCTGGAAAACAGTGATGTTCCCCTGAGAACCTGATGTATGGGCTCATCACCTAAATGTCTTGAGGGCAAATGCAGACATTGTCCCTGCTGGGGCAGAGGTAGATGTGACCTGTCCTTACCACCCGAAGTGAATACACCTGCTGCCTTGTTTTAAACAGGTGCAGGGTCTGAAGCCTGCTACAGCCTGAGCAGGAGGGCACAAGAACGTGCAGAGATCATCCAAAGGGGCTTCCGTGGAAACTTGCCGAGATGGTGCCACCGTGCAAGCGACCCGTGGGGCTGAAAACATGAGGCTGTGCAGGGCTGGCACGTGCCATCGATGGTCCTGAGAGGGACATTGGCCACTGCACTTCACCCTGCACAGCCACAGCTGCCACGACCCTGCCCCGTGCCACATGCGCTGGGGAACAGCCACCGCCACACACACACTTTTTCTTAAACTGCTTCCTTAAAGGATCAGACTAAAAATCCACTTATAAAACTGAGCTTAAAAGAGACCATGTGGGTCATCACCTGCCCCCCCCCCCCCCCCCCCCAAGCGCTGTTCAGGGCCCTGGGGAGGGTCGAGGTGCCCCAGTGCAGCTGATGCTCACCGTGGTACCTGGCATTACTGCAGCACGGTACTGATGATGCTCCACCAGTGCTCTACCTGTACCCCAGCTGTACTCCAGCCTGGCATTTCTAGGTACCTTATTTGGGGACCCCAGATCCTGGTCCCCAAAATGTCTCCCTGCGTTATTTTCCAATTGTATGGGTCTGAGCCGTCCCCCAGGCTGGGACCTGTCCCCTGGCCAGATGAACCATCAGAGGGGACAATCCTGACCCGGCTGTTGGGAGCCCCGTGCCGTGCAGGACCCAGAGGAAGGGAGCAGGCAGGAAGGCAGCCTGGCACCCAAGGGTGCTCAGCAGCAGTGCGGGGCCAATGTGGGTGCCACCAGGTCGGGGTCCTGGGGGGCTTGGCGCTGGGCCCGCTCCCCGGCTGCCCCCACAAGCGGGCGAAAGTCCCTATGCTGCCGTCCAGCAGGAACATATGTGTGTTTGGAGGCTCCCGCCCCTAAGCTGCTTTTATTAATTTGTAATCCCCTGCAAGCAGGAGGTAAAGGGATTCGGGGGATTAACGGGCTCACAGTAACAACCACAATTATCAGCTCCGGCTGCCTGGGACAAGCGTTGCACACACGCACGGGGCTGTCCACCCCGGTGCACAGACATGCGCCAGCACACAGACACGTGCCCACACCCCAACACCTCCGCACACGCAGACACACAAGCACCCACGGAATGGAGCACAAGCACGCAGGTACGGACACAGGCACACCCACCTGCGTGCACACACGCACACACGGAAACCCGCACACCCCGACGTGCACACCCGCATGGTTACACTGGCTGGAACACGCTCCCTCTTGCACGTACAAGCGCGCACACACACAAAGTGCATACAAACGAGCGCACGCACGTGCACCCAGCTACACACGCAGCCCTGCGTGTGCGCACCCTTGCACCCCTATGTGCCCATGCATGCTCCCGCACACCCACACGAGCGTGCAAATACGCACACACACACACACACACGTCTGTGTCCGCCCCATCCTCAATTAGCACCATTAACCTCGCAGGACGCCGATTGCCATGGGTCAGACGTGAGTCTTCACCCTTTACCTCTCCACGCTCATTAACTAATTAGTGGAGGGCGAAGAGCCCCCTCCCTCCTCCCGCGCCGCTCCCCACGGGCGGCGTCGGGGGAGACCCGAACCACGGGGGGGGGCAAACGAAATCCGGGCGTGGGGGCGGGTGGCGACCGGCCGGTCCTTGGGGAAGTCTCCCCCCGACGGCGACTCCCTCGACCCCCGGGCAGTGCCGCCGTCGGGGGCTCCGCGGGGACCCCGGGGCCGCTTCGCACCCCAGAAGCGGCGGCTGCAGCCTGAGCCCGCGCGGCGGCCCCGGCCACGCGTGGGACGTGGCGGGGGAGGACACGAGGGTGGGCAATGCCCCCTCCCCTCCCGCTTTTGTGATGCTAAAGAGCCCCGCGGTGAACCGCGGCCCAGCTGCGGCCCGGCCCGACGGTGCGGTGCCGCCCCCGGC